ATTAAATTTCCTAATTTAAAAAAAGGATCAGAGCTAGCTCATTCCTGTTAAAAGGGAGTTTTTCCTCTCCACTGTTGCTAAAAGCATGCTTAGTGTGAGGGATTGCATCCGAGTCAATGAGTCGATGCAATCAACTGGTTTTCCTTAGATAGAAAACTTTGAATCAATCTGACTGGATGATCTGGTTGAACTGTAAAGTGCCTTGAGATGACATGTGTTGTGAATTGGCGCTATAGAACACGGGTGCATGCATGTGGCTGTGTGTATGTGTGTGTGTGCCTTCGTGTGCCTGTATCTGTCTGTCTTTCTGTCATAGAAGATGTTACACAGGATATTAATCGTTTAAATGTCTTCCTGCCAACTAGATTCCTGACACAGTGACACCACAGCCAGATCAGAGGTTGGGGAAGGAAGGGAAGTCTGTTGCAGAGATGCACCCCCACCCCTGACGCCAAAGAGCAGAAAGCCCTGGAGAACTCAATGGAAGAGTGGATTGGGTGTTCTGGCCTCCCTGCAAGGACCATTGAGGATGAAGACTTTGTGGATATGATGAAACAAGCCGACAAAAGGTTAAATGTGTACAGTGGGATATATGTTAAAAAGAGAATCAGTGTGTGAGGTTCTATTCTGTACAGTGTTATATAAATAAAATAGAGAAAAAGAGAAGCTGTGTGTGGTGAAGTTTTATTCTGTACAGTGTGATATATGTTTAAAAAAGCAGTGTGTGGAGAGGTTCTATTATTTACAGTGTGGACTAAAATGACTAAAATTTGACTAAGAATACAATTGATATTCGTCATATAGACTAAGAATAAAACTAAAGCGGGAAGGCAATGACTAAATATGACTAAGACTAAAATAGATTTTTGGCATTGTGACTAAGACTAAATTTAAAAAAGCTGATGAAATTAAAACTGGTGGAGACACTTTAATCATCAAAGTGAACACACTATGACTGTGAGTTACTTCTGTTCTTTTACTCTTTTACTACTTGGACACAGCAGATGACTCAGTCGGGACTGAGGACACACCAACAGTGATCAACAGCATTGCAATCATCCATTGTTATAAATGAGATTCCCTCAATTCAATTCAGAAGGGGAACAAGCTATGCTTTTGCACTCTGCAGCACTGCAGTGCTCAGCAACACGGAGGAGAGAGAAAGTGAAGCAGATTCTTTAAAATTTATAACTGCACTACCCAATAATAATCTGCTAAAATTGATCCTTCTTTGGGGGAGTAGAACTCTGTTAAAGTAATCCTGAAGGTTATTAGAAAGTGGTCAGAGAGGACAGGGTTGTGAGGAAATACTGTTATTTCTTCACATTCTATGCCGTATGTCAGCACCAGATCCAAAGTATGAAGATGAGAATGCGTGGGACTATTCACATTTTAAACAAAGCCAATAGTGTCTAAGATAGCATTAAAGGATGCTCTTAAGCTATCGCCTTCAATGTCAGCATGGATGTTAAAATCTCCCACTATGATGACCCTGTCAGTGTTTAATACCAAATCAGATCAGGAACTCTGAAAATTCATCTAAAAGACCTGTCAAGGACTTTGTCTTAAAGGAATAGTACACCCAAAACATGATTAGCCTTCATTTTCTACTCACCCCCATGCTGAACAACACTCTGGAGTACTTTTTTGATATCTCAAATGCATCTGGAGATCTGGGAGGCTTCTTGCTGTCTGCTGACATTCAAATAATGGAGGTCTATGGCGCCCGAGGCAGAAAGGTCCATAAAAGTCCACAAAAAACGTGTCAATATTCCTCCATACTGCTCGTCCAATGTATTCCAAGTGTCCTGAGTGGGTAGCATCCAGAATTTACTCGAAACGAAGTCATTTAGAATGTTTTTAGAGCATAAACAGTAGTGTATAGGATTTCCTGAAAGCGCGCGCCAGCGCGCTCACGACGCTACGGAAGCCGGCAGACCAAACCAGCGCATTCAGCTCGGCAAAGAACTCATGCTCTTCCTCAACACTGAAGTCCTCAGACATTTTCTTTCGTTGTTTCTTTCTTTGCACAGGTAAACAGCACATTTCTTCTTCTACGCTTGCATTATTGGCAGAGCAGACGCTGAATGCGCACTTTCATCTGGCTTGGTCTGCCGGCTTCCGTAGCGTCGTGAGCGCGCTGGCGCGCGCTTTCATGAAATCCTATACACTACTGTTTATGCTCTAAAAACATTCTAAATGACTTCGTTTCGAGTAAATTCTGGATGCTACCCACTCAGGACACTTGGAATACATTGGACGAGCAGTATGGAGGAATATTGACACGTTTTTTGTGGACTTTTATGGACCTTTCTGTCTCGGACACCATAGACCTCCATTATTTGAATGTCAGCAGACAGCAAGAAGCCTCCCAGATCTCCAGATGCATTTGAGATATCAAAAAAGTACTCCAGAGTGTTGTTCAGCATGGGGGTGAGTAGAAAATAAAGGCTAATCATGTTTTGGGTGTACTATTCCTTTAAGGTCTTTTTAATATATGAACTCCATCTGGATTCCTCAAAAGTTTTAAAGAACACATCTGAGTTCATCCAGAAGATAGTGTTGAACCCCTGGAAACTAAAGGTCAATCCAAAACAGAAAACATTAAAAAAATGTTCTTTTGGGTTAAATGTTGTGGCTAGTGGTGGCTATAATGGTTGTTTATGCAAATGTGGTGTGAAAATGAGTTTGATGGGACTAAACGGTAGCCAAATCTTATTTAATATTTCATGCATTTGTTTTACTGTATTATTTACCGTTTCTTACTCTGGCCATTATTAATTGGCCCTGCGTAGACTGGATGTGGATGGGGTACTTGGATTTCAGGTTTTCGCATCAGGATTTCTTCCTTCTCCTGTTTGGGTTGGACACGCGACGGCCCGTGCTTCGCCTTTGGCTCTTCAGTTCAACTGCCTCAGTCATAACCTGAACATTTAGAACGACTAAATTAAATATTTAATTTCTGAGTTTCAAAGGCAGCAATTGTTATATTAGGTTGATTATTCACAAAATGTTGTTATTCTGCTAATATAAGACAAAAAATACATCTTAAAATAGGCTTTTCTCAGCAGTTCCCAAATTCAGTCCACATTTTTTTTCAACAGCCAGAAGCTTCTGAAAAAAATCCTCCAAGGACAGCTACTTAAATCCTGAAAAATGTTTGGATAATAACAGATTTAATAGAGAGTAGCAGAATAATTCAAATTGATCTGGATTGTGTTTATTCACTCTCCTACCCGCCCCCCTTTCATCATATTGGCGTGACCTATTGCTGCTGGCATCATGAAGGACTACGGACCTCATAGTCTTGCTGCTGAGGAGGGTATAAATACAAGAAGTAGCAGCAGCAGATCCACTTTCTGTATCAACATTTGAGCGAATCACAGAGCTAAATGACATCTGGTAGAATGAAGGTAAGAGCATCTCCGTTTATCCTTGTCAGTATGTTACTTTATTCAAAGGAAACACTTGTGATGATTTTTCCTGATCATGTTATTCTTTGTTGTCTTTTTACCAAGTGTTACATTTTGGAAACCTGGCAGGATCTTGATTGCTGCTCTTCTGCTTTGCTTTTTGTCTAATAGGGATTGAGGGGCATCACTTTGACCCACCTGCTCACCCTTTTGCTGCTTGCCTCCTTCATCTCACACTCTTGGAGCGTGCCAAAAGTAATAACCTTAATACTACAGTGAAAAGAGCGACTTGTTGAAACTGAAAAGGTTAAAAAGCAAAAATAAATGTTCTTGGTTTTTGTCTCCAGGGATCATTTCAACGGAGAAACTGGACTCCGCAAGCAATGTTGTACTTAAAAGGCACACGTACGTATTCAGTGCTTTAATCTCTGAGGCATTTTAATATTATGGAAAAAATAACTGCAGTACTTTGCAAAAGTATTCACACTACTTAAACCTGTTTTGTCAAGTTCCAACCACAAACTTGAATCTATTTTTAAAACAAATGAACAAATAACTATGATATGGAAGGAAATAGGACCTGTAAAGATTTTAGATGTGAAAATCAAAGTGTGTCATGTTTCTGTTTTCAATCCCCCTAAATTAATACTTAAGGAGACTAATAGGCTAGAACTTATTAGTGTGTCCTTATAGACCAGTAAGTGCTATATATCATGTGTGAACCTGAATATTAAAGGGCTGTCCCAGACCCTATATTTATTTAGGTTTTGCCTTTGACTATACCTTTATAAAACAGGAGTATGCTCTGATCTTATCTTTCAATTGGACCTAGTTTTCAAGTTTGCACTGCCTCCTGTGAGCCTCATGGCAAATCAGGCATCCTCTGTCTTTCTCCTCAGAAGCAGGATAACTGGACTGTTTGCCTCATTTAGAGGAAAGAGTCAAAAGTCAGACAACAACAGAAATAAAGGAGATCAGAGTTTGCGGTCAGACTGGACATAATGTGAACATGTTTAAGGAGTTGGAATACATACAAGCTACTGAACATGATAATGTTCTGGAAATAATATTTAATATTTGACTGATAACAGGTGGAGAATGATTTCAGATTGGCCTGTTTGACTGTGCCTACATTTACAGAACAAACATGGTTTCACGATCATGGAACTGACCTGTAATACTTTCTGTCAGAGGGTCGTAGGTTCATCTCTGAGGACCGAAAAGAAGGAGATGTCTATGACACGCTACACTTAGGTACAACTAAATTTATTCAGTTCTCAGTTTCATTGATTAAATCGTCATTCTGAGCAACGTTTGTAGAAAGTCTGAGAAGAACAATCCGAGTTCCTACGACCCGTTAGAGACCTGGAATCAGAACGGAGCTATGCAAACGCCCTCTGATGAGTCTCTGCTTTGTCCTGTTGTTTCTTTCAGAGACCCGCAGTCAGAACACAGAGAAGCTGAGTGTGGACCAGGCAGCCACGGTGCTGCTGAAGTTCCTGCAGCAGGCCAGGGAGGGAGGTGATCAGCCACAATCTCACCTCTAACTGCTCTTTGTGGTGTTTGTCCATGACTGACAATAGCATCAACCCATCAAATAAACCTGGGCAGTGATTTCATGTCTGTCTTTTTTTCTCCATCCCAGCTGATGAAGGGCCTGAGGAGCTGTATTTCCAGGAGCTGCCGGTCTGGAAGAGAGAATACTTCTGACAGCAGCAGCCAGAATAGTTTCTGTTTGATTTGTGTCTGTTGTATTGCTGCTTTGATGGAAAAAGAAATCTCTCACTGTGTTTGAATGATATTTTAATAAACATTTGGGATTATTGCTCTTTACCTGTGTGGTTCATTTAACACTTATAATAATATCACAGTGTTTTCAAACAGTCTGCATCCAATGAGCGAGATTATGTCCATAATGTATGAACACTAACTGTTGCGATAGATAAAATGAGCGCTTTGTAGTTTCTGCTATCTTGGCTTTTATCACGCTTTAATGTGTCAGATCATCAGAGAAATTTTCATATTAGAGACACAGAACAGTTGCAATTATTATAACTGCTTAGCATATGGATTATATTTAGGAAAGCTAAACAATCTGGTCCAAAGTGAGAAAATAGTTCCCTCAAAATTAATACAAAGTTTGTACAACCTTAGCATCTATAGCTGGCTCCAAATATTACTATGTTTGCAGAATTGGTTAAAGTTCATCTTAAAGGATATTAAGTGAGCTAAAGGCTAGGCCAACCCAAAACTGTATTATTTAACTATTAATGATTCAAAGGTTTGACATTTGAAGGCTTTTTGGATGCTTCTGCAAATCTTATCAAAAGTTGAGAGTTTCCATGAGATGAATAAAACTTGAACACAGTGGGATATTTCAGCCGTAAAGGGAATATATAAATAATACCAGGATAAAGCTTCTAGAGACAGAAGAGTGGCGATACATAAACCAGTTAACATCAACTCTACCATTGTACCAGATAATTGGTCAAACGACCACCCAGATTTATCTGTTCCTGTTGGCTGCAAAAAGTTTGTGATGTAGGTATGAATTGCAAAGCAATATTAACCAGAGCTCCTAATGAAAAGCTCAACCTCTAGTCAGCTGGAAGCTCGAGCTTTAAGCAATAATTTCACTCATCTGTGAGTCCATTCAAAACCAACGAGTTTGGCATAGAGTGGGGTGAGATGCTGAAGTAGCAAAGTTTAGTAGGTTTATTAAAAGGTAAACCAGTTTAGCAGGATTTTGTTTTTATCAGTCGGTGGTCATGCATCAGGATCTGGACCATAACAGATCTCCAGGTGGGCTAGAGAAGTAGAATACGAATGAAATCCTTTAATACAGTTGCCAAACTCACCCAGAGCCATAGCTCTGTTGAACCGTCCATTCCACCTGCTCTTAGCAGTAATGATTTTATGGGATTCTTTATAAATAAGATTAGTTGGTGATTATTCCTTTATTTTTGGATCTCTATCTCCCTCCAGTGTCTCCCTTCTCCTGTTTAAACATTTCTCCCTCAGTTATACCTTTCATTTATAAGTAAACTCAGTTAAACTTTTGTTTCCCCTTATTACCAGCAGCTGGGTTCTCCTTTACTTTCGTTGCCATTTCCCTCTTTGTTTTGCAGGATCCTCTGCATTGTTCCCTAGTGTTACAGCAGTGTTGGGCACATTACTTTGAAAAAGTAACTAGTTATAGTTACTAGTTACTTCTCCAAAAAAGTAACTGATTTACCAACTGAGTTACTCCACCATAAAAGTAACTAGTTACTAGAAAAAGTAACTATTTAATTACTTTTGGGTTTCTTGCCCCGTAACCCTCACCACCCAGCCCCCATCTTCTCGCCGTGTGTTTCCAAAGCCAGCTGAATAGAGCGGATGACAAAGACAAGAACCTGCAGAGAGTTTAGCATTTATTGCAACTCAACGTAAATGACATCAGGGGGGAACGGGATCTGACGGGCCTATAAACTCCATCAGATAGTGTTCCCCCTGCTTAACATGGGGGAACTGTATCTGATGCGGTAAATATCATCAGGCTGCATTACCTCTGCTCATGGGTGTGAAGTTTTTTAACAGGCCGTTCAGATCTGGTGAGTGAATGAAATTAATAACTGAATTATTCTGAAATCCTTGTGTTTTGGTTGTTATAGATACTGCAACATCTATCTATC